TTTCGTTTGGTAGAATTTGGAAAACTAAATATGTACATCACACCATTGATACCTATGAGCAACTAACTGCTTTGAGTTTGGAAAAGGCTTTTTCGGTAATCACACATTGTTGTGGGGAGCTGGAGTGTGGTTCTCTCCTTCTCTAAACCCAAGTATGCTTATTAAAGTGAAATTCATATTGTCTGTCCTATGTCATAAGAACCACCTGATATGGGATGAAATAAGGAATAAAAACAAAACAAACAAAACTAACTCACTATATATACTTTTGTCATGATATTAATAGTCATATAGAGTACTAACTAATTCTAAAAAAGTTTTCATCTACCTTCCTGTACATGATTTTTGGCTTGAGTGGCTCTCAGATTTTTGCAGTGAATCATGAGCATGCCTGAGAGTGACTGTTGAAGTCTGCAGAAGGAGGATAAGACCCCACAGCCACGATTTCTCCAGAACTAAGATAATTCCTGAAAAACACCACCTAAAGATTGGCTTTGGACTACAAACTGCTCAATTCAATTTCTAGGTGGCTTGCTGAGATGATCCAGCCTAAAAACTACTCTAGCCATGGCTGGAGACAAGCCCTGCACTTTCCCATTACAGAATGCCTGGACAACAAATGATACAGCCACCCCTCCCAGGATTTAATAATTAACCCAAATTTTTTCTTTTCAGGATTCCCTAAAGATATTGTCGCTCCCAGACAGCAGGAAGTAAATTTAAGAATACAATGCTCACATTTCCAAGAGGTGGGGTGGGTGGTTTTTGGTCATTCAGTGGGTTATGGATATCTGTCATTGTTTATGGGGATTGTGAAGCATGATTTATAAAAGCTCAGAGAGAGAGAGAGAGAGAGAGAGAGAGAGAGAGAGAGAGAGAGAGAGAGAGAGAGATTGGGGTTCAACCTGAAGATCTGAAAAGCAAAACAGCCAGCCACTGGCTCTTACCTTGACCTCAGTCTGAAATGGCAATCCTGCCTCCAGGAATCTCAGAATGGGACTGTTGAGAGCGGTTTCCTCCTATTTTATAATCCTCTCTAGGGCTGGGATTAAAGGCATGTACCACTGGGATTAAAGGTGTGTGTTACTATAACCTGTTCTGTAAGGCTGATCAGTGGGACTGTTTTACTCTCAGATCTTCAGGCAGTCTTTATTTATCAAAATACAATTGAAATTCCACTACAGGATTTGTTATAAGTTGTTATTAATAATGGTCATGAAAAATGATAAACAAAGGAAATTAGATTCAAGTTTCTTGTTTTGAAAAGAAAAAAAGTGGGATATAGATATGATAGAATAAAAGGATAGATTATTGAATCTACCTTTAAAAAGCAACTACTAGTTTTAAATGTTTTACATTGGATTTGGTTTTTATATATTGTTTTTTTTAATTTTATTTATTTATTTATTTATTGGATTTTCGAGACAGGGTTTCTCCGTAGCTTTTTTTGGTTCCTGTCCTGGAACTAGCTCTTCTAGACCAGGCTGGCCTCGAACTCACAGAGATCTGCCTGCCTCTGCCTCCCGAGTGCTGGGATTAAAGGTGTGCGCCACCACTGCCCAGCTGATTTTTATATATTGCATACAAATTTTGTATATTGAAACAAATTTGAGATTAATTTAGTTAGAACAAACTGTACTATATTTCTATTCTTGCTCAAGGTATTGTACGTATTTAAAAATGTAATGCAAATTTCTAGTCCTTGAAAATTATTCTTACCAACTGTTTTGAATAATAAGGAAATGCAAGTTAGTAGTTAATCACCTAGTATAATTGAACTTGTAGTCACATTAAGAATGTTTTCAAGGTCAGACAAAGATATATTTTAAATTGATACATTATCTTCAAACACTGACTTCGTGCAGAAAACACAGAAAGCATAGAGCTGATCTCAGCTTCATTTTGCCTGTGTTTCTTCTTTTTACTGAGCATCGCCACCTGGACCACCAATTGTCCATGCTTGTTCTAAGGGCACATGCCTTCAGAGTTCAGAACCCTCTCTGTAGTGCTCTCTGAAGTAGATCTCTAGGGCTTAACTCCTGGATTTATCTTTTATCATCTATATTATTGTGGTGGTTTGAGAGAGAATGGAAATGCGCCCCATAGGCATGTTGGAGGAAGAGGTCACTGGGGGTGGGCTTTGAGGTCTCAAGCCACAACCAGTGTAACAGCTCACTTTTGGCAGATAAGGATGCAGAACTCTCAGCTCCTCCAGCACCGTGTCTGCCCGCAAGCCACCATGCTTCCTGCTATATGATATAAAATCTCTGAACTGCAAACTAGCTCCGATTAAACATTTTCCTTTATAAGAGTTGCCGTGGTCATGGCAATTTATTAATTCACAGCAATAAAACCCTAAGACAGTTTACCTTGTGGAGCTGTGTAATTACCTATGTTCCATTTCCACTTAGAAAATAAGAAAATTATAGTAGTTACATTTGAACAAAATTCTGAAATTAAATGTGTCGGAGTCTCACACTGGGGTGACATCTGTCGGGGCCCAGCCTTGATGGGGTTCACACGTTCCAGGGTAGGGGCGTGTGGATTAGAAATATTAGATATGAGGAACAGAGCTTGGAAAGAAAAGGAATGGAGACGCAGAGTAGAACCAGGAGGGCAATCTAGTGATTGATGATTGGCCTGTGTTATTTTCCATATGCTTATATTCTAATCTAAAGAGAAGGCAAAAGACTGCTTTAACATAACACAAAGAACAAACAGAGAAATGACCTCTTCATTACCTGAAATATCAAGCCACTATATCCTGAGTTAAGTATTCTGCTGTTTAGGCAGGACATGCAGTGACCACACCTTAGACCAAGCATCCTGTAGGCAGCCACTCCCGGGGTTAAACCTCCTGTCATCTCCTTGAAGGAGCAGGAATAGGCTTGAATTCTCTAACCTTTGGTGAGGGTGAAATGGATCCACTTCTGCAAGCTATCTTAAAGCCCCAAACACCAAGTATCCACACCCTAGGTCAGGATATCTTGTCTGTAGACATTCCTTAAGTCTTGTCTCCTGTCACCCACCCGGAATGAACAAGAGTCGGCTTAAACTCTCTGACCTTCAGTCAAGATGGAGCAGACCCACTTCTGAGGCTCCCTATAAAAATGAGATAATATAAGGCCCGGAACAAAAAAAAAAAAACTCAAAAAATGTTAGTAAGCTTTTGAGATCAGGGTCCTGAACCCACAATTTTGGCAGGGCCAAAGCCAAGATTAAACTATTTGATACTTTATCCAAGAATCATGCCTCTCATGACCTTCTCTGCTTCTGTTTGGATCAGCTTGACATCTCAAAGAAGTCAAAGCACTTTTAATACTGTTTTATGTCATCATCTTTTCTCTCAGACCTAAGAGTCAGGTTCTAGTATTATTCCTATTTTGGGATAACAAACAGAAAGATGGCCCAGAAGCATTTCTTATTCACTTCTTAGAGTGCCTCTCATTTCTTACTACACATTATTTTGGACATTATTTTACAGTGACCTAAATTAAACTCCTTTTCTTCTAAGATTTAAGAGTGTTTCCGTTTTCTTAGTGGGCTTTGAAACCACTCGTAACTACATCTTACGGTTATTTTCAAGTAATTCCGGAAAGCCAAATACAAAGCAGGCATCACAGAAGATGCTTGTGATTATATTTTTCACTTCTCAACCTTCAGAAGTGATCTATCTACTTTGTTTTAAAATCTCCAGAAGAAAGCAAGTTGATAAAGGTACTTACCGACATTACTGATGCTAGATTAAGCATTATTTAAGCCCTTAGCTATTGACCTTGTACTTATGCACACTCTACAGCAGTAAGATAAACATTGCCGTGGCCTTCCCTAGCGTCGAGGAGCCTTTTGGAAGAGCCTCCACCCGTGGAAATGTGGAACCCAAACAAGAGCCACATTATCCATTGTTATTAAGTCTCCATACCTCACAAGAATGAGATTCTGTTTCCAAAGCCTAATGAATTCTGCAAACCATGTTTTTCAACCTGTGCTGAATTCGTGACCCCATGATGTATGCCCCCCCCACTTGCCTTGGTAAGCTTCTGAACCTGTGATATACGGTTGGCCTTTTGCCTAGGGAAAATGTGTCTTCCCAGGTATCTTGATGACTTCCCTTCCACTTGATGTAATCTTGCACTCATCTACTAAGGGTCGATTATCTCTGAAAGATTTTCCGTGGAGCTACACTGGCAGGACCCCTGAGGGTGGGAGACAGATACGCCATGAGGAGAGAGTTTGGGTATAGAGTTTATTTAGTGGGTATTGGAAACGGTATAAGAGTAAGGGATTATGGAGGGAGTGGTAGAAGGGGAGAGAGACCAGGGGTGACAGAGAAAGAGGAAAGAGAGAGGGGAGGAAGAAAAAAGAAGGGGGTAAGAGAAGACGGGAGAGAGGCCATAGTTACCTCTGCAGGTGCGGGGAGAGGGAGAGAGAATGCAGAGAGGGCAGAGATCAGCATGGTACCCAGGTGACAGGGAAGCTTAGCACAAGGCTAACAACTCCACGGCTGTTTTCTATCAAGGCTAACCCTTCCCCATAAAAGGGACCTCAGAAGCCAGTGCGGGCGGCTCTCTGGAAGCTCTAGGAGAGGCGGCTAGCAGGCCAGTTCTATATACAGCTTGCTTTAATCAGACCTTCGCGGAACTGTTTTTTTTCCTCAGGTCTAACAGAAACCACAGCCATGAAGGAAGAAATCTCCGTCTTTCCTCCTTCGCATCTTTTCCCTTAACTTGAAAAGAAAAAAAAAAAGAAAGACAGACAGACAGGCAGACAGAAGAAGCCTGTTCGTGTATTTCTGCAGTCGTCTCCTCAGATGGGAATTTGGCGGGGGCAGCTCCGGGTCCCCAGATTGGCCAGGCGCAGGGCATGAGCAGAGAAGCTCCTCACACCCAGGTTACTACGGCGAGCGGCGCGGGGCGTGTGCGCATGCGCCGCCCAGCGCCTGGGTTGTGGGTGCTGCCCGGAGAGCGCATGGGCAGACAAACTGTCCGTCGGTTTGTCCCGACGGGAGGGCAGCGTGGGCGCCATCTTCCTGGGGGCCGCCGGGGGGCTCGGCCGGCAGGGCGTGTGGCGGGCGCTCAGACTTGTCCCGGGGCGCCGGGCGGGGAGGGTGCGAGCGGAAGGCCGGGCAGGCGGGGCCGGGGAGAGGGCGGCCTGTGCGGTTAGAGCCCCGCGCGCTCGCTGACCCCGACGCCCTCCGTCCGCCTCCCCGAGCGGGGTCCCGACGGCGCAGATCTCGGAGCCTCGCCTAGGTATTGCTTTTCTCGGCCGTGTCCGCGTGGGTAGCGGCGCGGGAGAGCTCGGCAGGCCGGTGTCCCCGGGCTGGAGGGGCGCAGAGCGGTGCAGTGAGGTTGGGCGAGCTGGGGTGGAGCGTTTGCGCTCGGGACAGCGGTCCCGGTTAATCCGACAGCCAATTCGGGTGCAGACTGGCGCGACAGCCTCGGATCCGACCTAGCAAGTTGGCCTGGCGGTAAAAGAAGGAAACTCTGATCTTCGGGAGCGTGGACAAAGGCGTCGGGCTGTGGAATCGATGCCTTCGGAGGATTCCCCATTGATGATGGATGGCGTGAGAAGTCGGTGCTCTGTGGATTCGACTTAACGGTTCCTGACCCGGGACTGTGACTCAATGTGGTCATGCATTTTTTTTTTTTTTTAAATTTTAGACACCTGCATTATAAAAGGCAGATTATATCAGAGACTATTTGTGGACTGGGGTAGATGGTCTGCAGGAAAATTCAAGTTTAGCATTTTAACGTTCTTCATATCTGGGCACCAAGACATAGTTGGAGGCATATAGAAAACTGCCTCCATTATCATGTCTGGAAAATGCCTTTATTTGATAGTTAAAATCAAGTGGATTAGAAATTACGGCTCTTAAGTTCAGTGTCCCGTTTTTCTCCGACTCTTAATTAAAAGATACACACTTGCGATCATTTAATTAAGACGGTGATTTAAACGGAAGGATGACGGTAAAATTAGCCAGCTTTTAGGGATTGGCTTCCTGACATCAATACAGTCACTAATCACTTTGGCATTCATATCTGAACCGGGGTTAGTGTGTGTGTTGATTTTTGTGCAGTGGCATTCGAAACCAGAACAGGATAGTTTGTGTTTTGACTTTGGTGCGGTCTGCTGTGCCAGTAGACTGTGGAGATCCTGAGGAAATAGTGTATTGTGAGAAGTACTTTGAGTCTCCTAGAGATAGTCTTGATGTTACTGTCCACGAACAGATAATGACATTGACCTGCTGTGGCAAGGGCAAAGAAGTCTAAACATTAACTTTTACTTGGCACATTAGCACAAACTAGGTCTCTTGGATTGGAATGCAATGGCCTCGTGCCTGTGAAGCTGCCTTTAGTTAAGTCACTTAGGTAAGGTGGTTTTAAGCTAGGATGTGTTGTGAGAGGCATTTTGAATTTGGCGGGTACTTATTGCCTTGAAATGTCTTCGAATTCATGTACTTGTAGTTGAATTTATGTCCTCGGATTCTATCCCTCTTGAATTTAAAAAGTTTAAGGGCAGACAAAGTGGTGCTTACCATTTGCTCCCCAAAATATTTAAAGACTTAAAACGCAGCCAAGTCAGTTGACATAGGCGTCTTGGAATTTGAATGTGGACAGGTGTTTCAAGGAGTGTTTTTATAGTTTTTGTTGAAATGTTGGGTGTAAATATTAATTTTTTGAAATCAGGCTTACACTTTTGTTTGTACTGCAAAGATTTTAATAGTAAATCTCAATTTTAAAATGTAGTGTATGCCATTATTTTTATTAACTTCTAGTTCAAGAAGTTTAATCTATAGACCAGCTCCCCCTTTTTAAAGATATTCTTTCAAACTTGAAGGAATATATTTATGTACAGTGGTACTTAAGTTTAAAGGAACAAAACTTTATTTGCACATTAATATTAATTATGATTAATGTGGCACATTTGAAAGGTTATTTGGAAAAAATTGGGTGTCTGTAAAGGCTCTAGGTACTGGTATCCTTAAATAATACTAAATTGAATTTTTTTTCAGTAATGAATGTTGGCAATCCCAAGATTCCAAACTGGTCTTTATTCTTGTTTATTTTTCTATATTATTATTAAGGTTTCTGTAATGTAAGTGTGTAGGGTAGTTTTTTGAAGTGGCTATTGGCATAATAAAATTTCAAAGTTGATATAGTTTTTGTTTTTTGTTTTCTTCGTGTCTGTGCTTGAGATGAATTTTAACAGTCTACTGTTGTAAGCATATCGGAGGATGAGTGACATTGATTTTTTTTTACATTTAGGGATGCTATCATATTTGCCTTAATTACATTGTAATAACGCTTGTTTCTGTATTTGTGATATGTGGAATTTGTATCCAAATGGTAGCCATTGACTTGGCTTTCTTGCATAATTGCTAGTTTTTGAGCTTTGATTTTTTTTTATCCAGTATATCATTTTGAATTGTTGCTTTGTCTGACTTAGTAGTGTGTCTTGGAAGGGTGGAGAATGGCAAGGGAGTTGGACATAAGTCTGAACTACATGCTTGGGTCATCATTAGGTAAAATGATGGAAGGTCTTTAAAAATGATTTTCAAGTCGATGTTTTACTTATAAAACAGATTTTTTAAAAAGTACATCTACAACTTCTATATCAGCATGTGATAAACCCAGAGTTTACTTAATGATGGAATTCAGTGAGTTTTGGTATATTTTATACACTCATGTAACCACTACTACACTCAAAATATCTATTCATACATTTTCATGCAAATTCCAATCATGTAGTATAATTTTCAGCATACATTTTTAGTTTTTAATACTTCCCAGCTGTCTGCTCTGGTTTTATACTTCTTTTTTGAAGAAGTATAATCAAGTTCCCTTTGGGACAAATCATTTTGTAATGCCCACAATTTTCATGCTTTATAGTGTTTCTTTCTACTAGGTAATTCTGAAATGGATATCAGGCATTGAGATCAATTACAGAGTTCAAAGATTAATTATATTTCATTTTCTTTCCACAGTTAAGTTGCTTTTACAGAATTAACAGGTCTCCAAGAAATAAAAGGAAAAGGTAAGACTTCCGAGCTTACGGCTTCGCACAGAACCGCGACAGCATCAGATAGATCAGTGTGTCTTTGTACCTTGCTTCTCTTTCCGTGGCTGCTGAGTATCCTGAGCAGAAACCAACATTGACCTGACCATAGCTGGCTTTTCTGAATATGTAAACTTTATTATGGTTACTTAGGGGCCAGGAGGAGGCATGTTTCTAAAGAGTCTGAAAGTAGTTTGATTTTGTTGTAAAACAGCATTTGGCAGACTTACAAGGGAAAAGTTGGTACTTTTGATGTTCCTATTGAATAGGATAGGTGACGTGAAGTGTTACTTTAAGGCAGTTGGTTTATCTGTATGTCTAGACAGGAGAAAGCATATTTGTTTTCTTTAAGAATTAGATAAGATCAGTTTTTTGCAAACTAGTATCTTGCTTCCACTTATTAATGCTGAAGGAAGCAGGAACCAGGTAATTACTAAGCTAGTTTGCGTTGGGTGCTGCTAAAGTAAGTCTTGCTATTATGTGTACCTTTCTGTCTGCAGGTCATTTTTGCTGTGGTTTGAGCCCAGCATGGCTGTAGTCATCCGTTTACTGGGGCTCCCCTTTATTGCGGGGCCTGTGGATATCCGTCACTTCTTCAAGGGATTGGCTATTCCTGATGGAGGAGTGCATATAATTGGAGGGAAAGTTGGGGAGGCTTTTATTATTTTTGCAACAGATGAAGATGCGAGACGTGCCATAAGCCGTTCAGGAGGGTTTATCAAGGATTCACCTGTAGAGCTTTTTCTCAGTAGCAAGGCAGAGATGCAGAAGACCATAGAAATGAAAAGAAGTGTTCGTGGAGGAAGAGGGCGACTGGGGTCAGGGGCCTCAGGGGTTAGCAACCTGTGTCATTTTATTGATGCTATGAAGAAAGAGGAGAGTCATTCTGGATATGGCTCTTCAGTTAACCAAGATGCTGGGTTTCACTCTAACGGTGCAGGACTTGATGTAAGGCCAAGAAAGACTAGGCCATCGAAGGCTGAGAACCCGTACTTGTTTCTACGAGGTTTGCCTTACTTAGTAAATGAAGATGATGTCCGTGTCTTTTTCTCTGGTTTGTGTGTGGATGGAGTAATTTTCTTAAAACATCACGATGGCCGAAATAATGGTGATGCTGTAGTGAAGTTTGCTTCATGTATTGATGCCTCAGAAGGTCTTAAATGCCATAGGAGTTTCATGGGTTCAAGATTTATAGAAGTAATGCAGGGCTCGGAACAACAGTGGATTGAATTTGGTGGCAGTGTGACTAAGGGTGGTGACATTCCTTGTCTGCGATCTGAAGAACATTCTCCTTCAAGAGGGATGAACGACAGACATTGCCGAAAGCGATCTCATTCAAAATCTCCTAGAAGAACACGTTCTCGCTCTCCTCTTGGATTTTATCTTCACTTAAAAAATCTGTCCTTAAGTATCGACAAGAGAGATCTAAGGAATTTCTTTAAAGACACTGACCTGACTAACGAGCAGATTAAATTTTTATATAAAGATGAACGAAGAACACGGTTTGCCTTTGTGATGTTTAAGAACCTGAAAGACTATAATACTGCCCTGAGTCTGCATAAGACTGTGTTACAATATCGTCCAGTTTTTATTGACCCAATTTCTAGAAAGCAAATGATGAAGTTCATTGAATGCTATGAAAAGAAGAGACCAGGGTCACAGAAGGACTTTGAAGACGGCTGCTCTGGTCAGAAACTGTACATATATATAAGAAACTTTCCATTTGATGTCACGAAGGCCGAGGTGCAGAAGTTCTTTGCAGACTTCCCCCTTGTGGAGGATGATATTTATTTGCTTTATGATGACAAGGGAGCTGGTTTGGGGGAAGCACTGGTGAGATTTAAGTCAGAAGAACAGGCCATGAAAGCTGAACGTTTAAACCGAAGAAGATTCTTAGGGACAGAGGTGCTGTTAAGACTTATATCTGAGGTACAGATGCAGGAGTTTGGTGTCAATTTCTCCTTGATGTGTGGTGAGAAAACACAAGCCCGTTCCCAGTCACACAACAGAGATGACCGTTCCCATCTGTTTGCCTTACACGACTCACCAGTATGCTCACTTGGCTGGTCCGAAAGGGTTGATTATCAGCTGGAAGACTTAAGGCATCCCCACAGGTATTTCCAGCAATCTGACAGGCACCCTCCAGAAGACTTCCGGCACTCTCCTGAGGACTTCCGGCACTCCCCGGAAGACTATAGACACTCCCAGGAGGAACACATGAGGCGCTCTAGGGAGGAAGACTGGAGACGGCCTCTGGAGGACTGGAGATGGTCACCGGAAGATGATTTCAGGCACTCTTATGAAAAAGACTTTAGGCAGCTGCCAGAGGAGGACTTCAGACGGCCACCTCAGGAGCACTTCAGGAGGCCATCCCAGGAGCACTTCCGACGGCCACCCCAAGAACATTTCAGGCCTTCCCAAGAGGAGTATTTCAGGCATATGCCAGATGAAGGCTTTAGGCACCCTTCTGATGAGGACTTCAGGACCCCCCAAGAAGAAGATTTGAGATGTCCCACTGATGAGGACTTCAGGCAGCTCTCTGGGGAAGACCTCAGGGACGTACCAGAGGAGGACCCTAGATTTCCTGATAGTTTTAGACCTTCTGGTGAGGATTTTTGGACCTCACCTGATTTCAGGGGTCATCGTCCTTTTATGAACTTTAGTCACCTAGATGGTGGCAAATTTGATTTTGGAAAGCACAATATGGGATGTTTTCCTGAGGGAAGATTTATGCCTGATCTAAAATTAAATTGTGGTTCAGGTAGAATAACTCCTGTTAAGATCACAAATCTTCCATTTAAAGCTAATGCTAATGAAATTTTAGACTTTTTCCATGGTTATAAAGTCATACCTGATTCAGTTTCAATACAGTATAATGAGCAAGGGTTACCTATAGGAGAAGCCATTATTGCTCTGATAAACTATAATGAAGCTGTAGCTGCTGTTAAAGAACTGAATGGTAGACCAGTTGGTCCCCGCAAAGCTAAGCTCATTTTGCTATAGAGAGCCTCTCATCTCAGTTCGTAGTTTTCTTCCACAGTATTGATACAGTAAAAATACAGCCTTTTAAAAAGTTTATTTTTAATTATATAATTAACTTTTAGTTTTAACCTGTGACTAGAGAAAATGTGTTATATAAATCTGGTTTTCCTTTGCTTACAAATGGACATTCTTCTCCATAATTTAAAATTACATATGCTCTCTTTTTCTTTGCTAGGGCAGAGAAAACAAATTTCCTGAATTCATTAGTTTCATTGATGTTATGGATAAACCCCAGTCTTGTGAAATGTGGGGTTATGTTTGGGGAAGGTAAATTTATCTTTAATTTTGTTTTCACCATTTTTTACTCAGACTGTCTAAGGAAATGACGGATGACTGGTTGTTCAGGTTGGCACTTTCATTGCTACCAGTTGCAGAACTCCCTTTTGTGTGAGATATTGTGTTAAGGTCTCCTCTTAACTCTGAATAGGTCAGAAAATGAACGTACTGTGAACTTGAAATTTATTTATATGAAAGGCTTAGGAAATTCTCAAAATTTGTGTTCATAACTTTGAAAAGTTTTATAAAAATAAAATTGCAACTGAAATACTTATTAACTTGTATTTGTATAACAAAAGCAAAGACAGAATTGCGTCTGGGTATTATAAAAAATTTTCAACAGTTGTCTTAAAATTATATGGTAAATGGGACCAAACAATCTATAATACACACAGGTCTATAGTTTCTCCAATATTATTTTATCTTAAGCACTGGAGGCCTAGGGCTTATCCTAACTAAACTGCTAAGATTAACACAAAATGTTCAGAAGACAGTAAAATAATTTGTTTAGGGCTAGAGGGGAACTCTCAGGCTATGACAAATGAATCTAGTTTTTCCAGGGAATCTACTGGTGACTCATTAGGTTTCCTTTTTAGATTCAAAATTTTGTATTTATTCAGACTCACTAAATATAAGATGTCTGGGTGTGAATTTTGACTGATATTCAATGTTTATATTTTGCTTATACTCAACTAGATTTTCCTTACCTTAAATAGAAGTAGCTGACAATGGACACATATTTTATTAGGAATAAGTGCTTTATATGTATGCTTTCTATTATCTTTTTAATGTTATTCTTCACAAATGAGAAATGAAGTTTAGAGAGGTTAAGCCAGTTGCCTGAAGTTAACACGAAGTTAAGGAACCGATCTTAACCCCGTAAGGAGATTTCTGACCATACCATGTCCATAAATATCTTACTGTGTCACTGGGTTACTGTGTCACTTGGTTAACACGAAGTCAAGGAACCGATCTTAACCCCGTAAGGAGATTTCTGATCATACCACGTCCACAAATATCTTCCTGTGTCACTCGGTTATGTGGTATTTCTACTTTAGTAAGATCATGATAAAAAAGTATTTTCAGTTGTAAATTATATTTCCTTTCTTTGATTTATTTTTAAAGTTGCATTTAAAGTATGACACTTAAACATTGTTAGCGAAATTAAAGAGAAAATTTTAATTAAGAATTTAGTTTCTCTTGGAATATATATATATTTCCAAGTCAAAGTTCATTTTTTCTAATTCATGATTTTTATAGTTTAATATGAAACAAAGTTTTACCTACTTCCTTCATCCAGACATTTCCCACAGAGTAATTGTGAATAAATCTTTTTTTTTAATATGGTGTATTATTTAGCTACTACAGAAGTAGAATACTTTAAGTATTTTGAGTTAACATTTGGTGATATAAAGAAATCTAAGAGAAGCCTGTCTAAGTTTTTGTTTTTAATAGTTAATAATTAAATAGAATTGATAAATTATGTTAAAAAAGTACATTCTGAGTCCTAAAACTTGAAAACCTAAGCCAAGCACAGTGATTAGATAGCTGTTTTATTTGATGGAATCTGCCAGACTGTAAATACACTTTCCAGATGAGTCCATGGAGATACAACTGAGATAAAGCTGAAGATGAAAGGCCATTGACTATGCAGTCGCTTTGCAAACTGGGCTGTGGTGGGAAGGGCACGGTGGATGAGAGACGAGCTGGGAAACACTGCACTGCCTTGATTCTTGTTAATTTATGTTATGTGTGAGTACTTTGCATGCATGCATGTGTGCCGTGTGTCTGTGGAGTAGAGACGTGTGCTCCTAACCACTGCGCCACCTTCATTCCCAACCATTGATTCAAACTAAATACTGTAGCTGTTTGTTCTCAGTCATGAGACTCAATCTACATCCATTGGTGTGCTTGTATGCAGGCTAGAGTTGGACAGTGAAGCACTTTTCCACTCTTTTGTGAGGTAGGGTCTCTCGCTGAAAACTTGCTGGATTGACTGGCTAGCAACCCCTGGATCTTCCTGGATTTGTTCTTCGGCGCTTTCAGGCTTTGTGGTTGTGCAGCAAACACCTAGCTCAGCCCCAAGTTTAATATTTTGTAAACTTCATTATAAAAGTTTATTATTGAAAACTTGTTTCTAACACTGCTTTGAGTAACATGTTGATTTAACTTCAATTGGCCATGGTAGTAGCTAATATTTATACCAAATCAGAATGTTTCTCATTTGCCTAGCCTAAGGAACTGTACACGCAGCTTCAGACATGTGACAGAATGGTCCTACAGCCTCATGTGCAGATCACCCAGCTTCAGTAAGTCCATGGCCGGTTTTCTATTTCTCAACAGTGGGTACACTGGGAGTGTACGGGCTCTCTTGCATTCAAGTCATACTTTTTTCTGTTCAGAATGTATATAAAAATAGTAAAACATGTCCAGAGAGTAAACTTACTCCAAGGTATGAAAAACAACCCCAGAAGTGTTCGTTCATTTACCAAGCAGCCGAGGATGCTGTTAAGAAGCAGTGGCTTTTGATCCATCATTACTACTAAGCCTCGCCACTGAATCTTAATTTTCGCTAGAGATGCCAAATCATGGTCTATTTAACACGTTGAGCTTTTGTTGTCAGGGCCTCATCATGCATGCTAGGCTAGTGCTAACTCCCAGCCCAGTTTCCACATTCTTAAGTGTACTTAGATCCTAAGTACATGGCTGATTTTGCCTCGTTGCCCACAAAAAGTAAAATTTGGTCTAATATTCCTTTTGTTTTTATATACATGTTTGTTTATAATTTTTTGTTATTGTGTTTTTGAGACGGGGTTTCTCTGTGTAACAGCCCTGACTATTCTGGGACTCACTCTGTAGAACAGGCTGGCCTTGAACTGACATTCACCTGTCTCTGCCTCCTGAGTGCTGGGATTAAAGGTGTGCACCACTACCACCTCCTCCTCATCTTTTTTTTTTTTTTTTTTTGTCTCATGTAGCCCATGCTGGTCCTGAACTCAGCGGAAGCCAAGGATGACCGTGAACAGCTGATCCTCCTGCCACTGCCTTCTAAATAGCTGGCTAACAGGCTTGCGCCCGCATGTGTGGGGGCAGTTTCTGAAAGCACAGCTGTCAAAGCACAGCTGTTTCTGTGTTAGGCGCTGACTTGGCAGATGGGGCAGGTGCTGCCTGAGAGAAGTCCCTATCTACTGAATACCATAGCTGTTTCCCCTCTCCGCTCTAACATCACATCTGAATACTGACCAAGAATCTAAAAACCAAGTAACAATCTAGAGCTTTAAAAGTACTCTGAGAAAAAGTACCAAAGCAATCTTATTCTCAGGAAGAAACACTTTAAATTTTTCTGTTTTGAATAATTGCTTTGAGATTCATAAAATCATAATTGTTTACCTAAAGAAAGAGCAATGTCAGATGTAAGGAAAATCTGGATTTAGGAATAAAGTGTCTGCATGTTTCCTGACTACGGTGGCCTAGGCAGAGCGCGTTCAGCGGTTTGCAGCACGCTGTGATGAGGGAGGCAGGATCTAGCAGGTCACTTGCCTTCCAAGTGTCCGGGACTTGTACAATGCACAGGGCTTCCGAGTGAGAGCAGGTTTGTTTTTAAAGCCAGTATGGCTGACTGTGGCCTTTTTAGCTGGAAATTTAAGTGTTACGTACATTTATAACTGTATGTCTTATACCTTTATTTAGCTACATTTTCGCTGAAAACACTAAATTTACACACCAAATGAAGAAACAAGGTTGTAATTAAAAGAAACAATCTTTTTACTTAAGGCATTATGGCATACAGTTATTAACTGACCTCTTGCTATTTCAAACCAAGTTTGAACCTAAAAGAAACTATCCAACCTCTGCCACCTGCCTCCCTTTCGCATCTTCAATAGGTTACATAAACTGCAGTACATCTGAAATCCGTGAAATACATAGTCCAGTGTTAATAGTACATATACAGAAAGATACGCTACTATAGATGGCATGTTGAAAGACTGGTATGAGCTGGGCGGTGGTGGCGCACACCTTTAATCCCAGCACTCAGGTGGCAGAGGCAGGCAGAGCTCTGTGAGTTCCAGGTAGCTGGGATACACAGAGAAACTGTTCTGAAAAACAAAACACCCCCCTTCAAAAAATAAAGACTGATATGTAACATTAAAGAAACATCATTTTTGTGAGCATAATTTTCTTTAATCCCGCCCCCCATTTCATAGCAGTATTTCATTTGAAGTTTAACCTGTCAGTGAGTGTGATGTGATCCCAGATTCCGCCACTTAACATGAAACAGAAATGTGAGTTTCTAAGATTAGTTTTCATCTTCTGTCACATCTAACTCTTCGTCATCTTCATCTTCGACTTGTTGGTCCTTTCTCGTTCGACAGGTGGTTATCTGTTAAGAATTAACACATGAAAGAATAAAAAAAATGCTTCTCCACATTTCGCATCTTTTTACATGTCCTTCTAGGAAAGGGTGTATAGAACAACTATTTCAGCAAGGCTGAAGTCTCCCTTTATCAGTGTGTGTGAGGGTGACTGTGTTTGATCCAGCAGTGACTTCAGGAACCATCACTGGGCCGTGAATGCTGTGTCTGAATGAGAGCCGTCAAGTGGATGGAAACCAGATGTCAATTGGGCAGCAAGACTGACGGTAGCAATGTGGGGTGAGCTGAGAACCAGGTCACCAGCTGCACATCTTTTTCTTCCTCAGCTGTCTCACTAAAACCTCTGAGGGTGATCTGTGCCCCCCAGGAGACGCGGGGCCACGACTGAATACCAGCGATGGTCACACTGTGATGCATTGCTACTGACCGATGTTGCTCAACACCTTACAGTATATAGACCCCCAGGTCCCTAATCTCAAGTTAGGAAGGCTGCGTATTAAAAATACCCTACTATACACGATTTAGTTCTAAGTAGAATTTTATATGGAATATAAAGACAATTTATGGAGTTACATGTGTCAAGGCTAAAATAACAGAAACGCCACTTGGCTGGGGAAGAGATGACATAAAGCAGAGACAATGCACAGACTCCAATGACAATTTTTACCTTTGGCAATTTTGCCTAAAATTAGATTTTGAGATTGTTTAATTTTAAAATTCTGAGGCAATATCAGATTTTGGCACATTACAGTTATGTTTTTGACTGTTGATCTAAAGAGCTATGGGTCATGAATTATGCCTAGGAAAAACCACTTTCAGGTGTATTTTCTACACAGATGCTCACTGGTTTTTGAATTTGTATTGATACAAGACACAGCAAATCTACATTTTCATTTTCTGTCTTTGCAGCCGTGTCTTCAGTGTGCTGCCTCACTGAGCAAAGAGAGCACAATCAGACATTTCCACCATTCCAGAGGAGACAGCGGGGGGGGGGGGGGGGAACGTAGCAAGGGGGCAGCCCTTGTAGTTAGTACCCAACAGTTCCAAAGGCAACAACTCAAATTTCTTTACACGTAGCAAGGGGGCAGCCCTTGTAGTTAGTACCCAACAGTTCCAAAGGCAACAACTCAAATTTCTTTACCATTTTTTCGCTCACCTGTCCAGTTCCAGATGCGCACTTAGTTGATACTGATCTCTGAAGAGGTGACTTTGAATTTGCTCTTACAATATCTAAACGAGATGGATAATCTGGTAGATACAGAGAATTTCGGAAAACCTATTGCAATGTAAAACAACATTATAAAGTAGATGCTATACGAACATCTAGATAATCCACTTACATTCTTAAATTTGAGTTATGTAAGCTTAATAGGGGGAAATTACAAACCTAGTCATGTTAGAAAAGAAGGGTAAAAAAATTCTCCTAGAATCATGTAAGTTGATAGAAGATGTACGGCCGTCAAATTCATTTGGTTGAGGCACACACAGGTGTGTTAGACACTTATCTTTGGTTCTTTCTGCTTCGCCTACCTTCATTGAAGGGGTGTCACCGCACAGTTTTCATTGGAGCCACCCTAGCCCTAACACATTAGAATTGGAACCTGTCCGTGTTTCTCAAGTCTTCTTGTCTTTTATACTTTATACCCACGTTTCTAACACACATGAAGAGTCAAGGTCAATGTGAATTTCAGATACCTCCTTCCAAACTCTTTATTCCACATTTTTTATTTAAAAAAAAAAGCAGCAATGGTCCCAATCATAAAATTATTTTTTGTTGCTACTTCATTCCTGAAATCTTGCTACTGTTATGAATCATTAATATCTGTGTTTTCTAATAATGGTCTTAGGTGACCTCTGTAAAAGGGTCAATTGACCCCCCATAGGGGTTGTGACCCAGAGGTTTAGAACCATTGCTCTAGAAACAAGCATCGACTCCTTTTTATTATTATTACTTCAAGGTGTAACTTTTAAAAAGCTGATCAGTTACTTCACGCCCCTGACCAGAACTGGTTATTCGCCCCACAGCAAATATCAGAATCCCTATACAGTTATTTTCCCCGACCCAACCTTTCCTCTGCCCACGCCCGCCAACACACGCCACTGCCGGCTTGCCTCTTCTGCTTCATCTGTTCAGAGCCGCATCATCTAGAAAATGCCTCTCTTCTACGGCTTACATCTTAAATATGTTTTAAGGCTTTTGGTCACCTAATTTTTTCTCTGCAGTATTTAATGTCATCAACTAATGAATTCTCTGTATACTTCATATACCTTTTATTATAGATAAATAGTGTCCAACAACATGTTCTGAGATGAAAAAATGATGTCCAAAAAGACTCCTGGCTATGTGTGGCTGCTAACACTAGGAAAGATTTCTGTGAGATTTTGATTTTTTTAAAAAGATATTAAGGTAGCCACATAAAATTTAGTCCTACTATATTGGGTGTAGACTCAATTTTATAATGAAAGGCTTTATACCTAGCAGCATGGGCATTATACTTAGTTAATACCTGAAGTACTTGTACATACTAATGATAGACCTTTCTTCACAGCCCATTTAACCTCAGGTTAGGATAGGTATGTAGAGGTTGAGGGCTATGTTTCCATTCATTCCGTGCTCAGTGTTTAAAGTACATGCTCTTCATTCACAACAGTGTAAGGACCTTTGCATTATCTATGCCATCAGAAGATTTTGGCCATCTCAAGCTCCTTTGGCTTTAAGGCTATGGAACCATCCATCTCTCACACCCCACACTGTGAGATTGGTTGCATTATAAAATTTTAATGGCTACATAGAATTTTTTTCTTTCTTGATATCACTGGTAATGTAGACTATTCTTATTCATGATCCTAGTACTAAGAATGGTGCTTGGCATACAGGCGCTGAACAACCCAGTTGTTGCTTGGACATCTTAGGCGGTAAGTGGCATAATTTGTATTTTACCATAAAGATAAGAAGTTAATTTATTCAGTACTATTCCACTGAAATGTGAGGGAAGTTGTTCAAACACACATCTACTATAGAACCTTGAAGCCTTAGTTTTTCATCTGTCTCTGCACAGCCTACTTAGCTGGCTGATTAAGAGCAGCGGTAGGTTATAAAGGGCGCAGAGGGACCTATCTAGGGCTTCTGGAATGGGGAGAAGGACTTGAAGGGTCAGCTGAACTTAACCTGAATATCAGGTTACTATCAGGAATGTTAGCCAACGGAGACTGGTACTGGAAAAGGGGGCTCCGGGTTTGCAGCAGGAAACGACACGAGTCACCATCAACTCTAGCTGTAGCCTTAGCAAAAGCCTTACGAGCAGCATGGGACAGACTTTGAGGTGACGCCCAGCTCTGCTACTAAACTAGCTATCGGCCTCTGAGAAATTCCCTGTTTCAGTGTTTCTCATCCTTAGAGTAAGAACTATAATTTTTTTTAATTGGTGGATTAATTAGCAGAGTTAAAATACACAGATCTGTTCAAAGCGATAATTGCATAAATATTTGCTACTATTTTATAACTGTCATGTAAGAGTCTGATAATCTTTTAAAGAAGAAAACACGGAAAGGGCGAAGATGAAATGTTGGTTAGAGTACTTGAGGGAGTGGCGGTCCTCTGTTAAAGTACAAAGGGCTATTTAGGTTACACACAGTAACGTAGATTATTACCCATACACACTGAAGCTCTCAAACATTTCCACGCTAACGGAAGAACCGAGTCGGATGCAGGCCCTACCTCCAGATCCTCTTCCTCGTCGATCTTCTGTATGTTTTGGTACGCAGCAGTGAAGACCTCTAAAGCTTTGCCATGAAATAACATTTCAATTGTGATAAACTCTGAAAATATGTTCTGAAAAACACCAACATTGGAATCTTAAAGTCATTTCAATTGTTTTTATACATTTAAGAGTGTATTGTGTGGAACCATAGTGTTTTATATTCTCCACTATAGTCTTAGTATTTTATAAAAGAACACAGTGTCAGTTTTTGTGCAAGACAAACACAGCTGAAATAAATATGTGAAAACCTCACAGCAGAAACATGAACTCTGCAAAGTGTGCCTTTGTTACTACTCACTTTTTTTTAAAAAAAATTTCTTTTTACATGATAATTGACATTTAGATGAAAAAAGATGACTAAAATGTACACCACTATATACTCCTGCATCCTATAAATATTCATGGTAAAAATTTGAAGTATATTTTTAAAAACTATAGAAGACTGGCCTCTGAGATAAGGCATGGAACTGTGACCAACAATAATTGCTACTCTGTGATGCAGGCCCTGGAGGGCTGTCGTGTACTTGACTGTACAAGTAAGTATCATAATTGATTATATCCTTCTGGAATATCTGATGGAGTTGAAGAATGGTTAGTTATAGTTTTCCTTAGTTATGATAAAGATTATTATTTTTACTTGATAACTGTTTTTTATATGTAATTTTACTATGTTAAAATGAAAGCCTTTCTTTTTTGTTTAAACAGAAAAAGGGGAAATGATGTGGGAGTGATTTCTTATTAATAAAGAAACTGCCTAGGCCCCTTGATAGGCCAACCCTTAGGTGTGTGGAGTAAACAGAACAGAATGCTGGGAGAAAGAAGCTTAGTCAAGGAGTCGCCATGATTCTCCCACTCCAGACAGACGCAGATTAAGATCTTCTCTGGTAAGCCACCTCGTGGGCTACACAGATTATTAGAAATGGGTTAGATTAATATGTAAGAGCTAGCCAGTAAGAGGCTACAGATAAC